CAGCTGCTCGCAACCTGCCTGGGGCTGCCTGTGCCTGCTCAGGACAGCCCTGGCCCTGAGACAGGTGCTGGCCCTGGCACATTGGTCCCAAGATGGTGACCAGGGGGTGGGACACGTGTCAAGGGATGGAGCTACCCATGCAGCCTTCAACAGCCTGCCAAAACCGGGTAAGCAGCCCTCCACCCAAAATAATTGCCCACTCCTGTCCCAGAGACTGCTTTTTAATGAAATACTTACTGCTGTTACTTCTGGGTTCTCCTCATTCACGCAAGACGCATCTACAGTCTGTAGAATGCCTCTACGTAAATAGGTATAAAATATTCTCCATTGTCTTGCAGAAAACCTGCCACTTCAAGAACTAAAATAGTTTTCCATGGGAGAAGGGAGAGAGAGAGTCTCTGCAGACTCTTCACAGACAATCAGACCCAATGAAGAATTTTTAGCAGAATGCCAGTGTGATCAAATTTTATGCAGTCAAATCAGGTGAAAATCTAGGGTGCTGCTGTGCTTCTCTGAAATGGAGATGGTGTTCTGGGTTTTTTCTAGGAAAATTCCCCCCTAGGTACTTCTGTAGGTAAATAATGAGATAATTATTTTCTTGCTTATATCAAATTCATCTTTGCTGCCAACTCCTTGAACGCTTCTCTTTTTGAAGATATGCTGAGCAAGAGTCATCCAGAAAAGTTTCAACATAGAACACTCACAGATCCAAGACCCTGAAGATCTTAGTAAAAATATATTTAAAAATATTAAAACATCAAAGAAAGTTTAACTTAGCACTGAAAATCTCTGTGGCAGCAGAATGATAATGAGAAAGATATCTCAACCTTAGTTTTCTGTTTATGTGTTTTGTTTCTTCTTTTATTAAGGGTCCTAAAATTATGAACTATATTTCCAAACTAAAATTTGCCTGTCCACTCCAACCCAAACTGAGTTTGTTCTCAACCAGTTACTGAGAACCAGGGTCATGCGATGGAGATACAGGCAACCCCCGCTTAACACGGTTTCGCTTAGCGTGGTTTCGTTATAGCGCTAATTCAAAATACCTACCTGGATTCACTTAGTGCTGAGCACGTTTCATTATAGTGCTCAGCGCAGGGGTGTGGAGAAGCAGTGGCGGTGGCAAGGGAAGTGGTGAATGGCAGCCAACGGGAGCTCAGGGTGAGGTGGCAGGAGCACAGGGTCCGCTGTGGCACCTGGGCCTGGAGTGGCCAGAAGGCGGGCAGGAGCAGTGGCAGCAGCAAGAAGGGGCAGGTGGGCGGCAGGAGCATGGGGCCCAAGGCCAGGGTCGGCAGGAGTGCAGGGCCTGGGCCAGTGCAAGCCGAGCCCACAGAGTTCCTGAGCCCCCACCCCCTGCAGCGATCTGGCGGTGGCGGCTCATCCCAGTGCCGGGTGCCCTGGAAGGAGTCCCTGCTGGGCAAAGTGGGGTGCGGGTGGGTAGGTAGCCCCGCTGCTTACCCCTCCCCAGCACTGGTGGCCAGTGGGTGCAGGCTGGCAGGGGCATCGCGGCAGGGGAACAATGAGGCTGGGAGGAGCTGATGACTTCTCTGGCAGAGCCCACGTGGTGTCTTGCTGGGAGCAGCCCAGCCAGGGCTGGCAGGAGCGCAGGGTCTGGGCTGGCAGGGCTCAGGGTGGGGCTGCAAGAAAGCGGGGTCTGGGCCAGCAGCTGTTGTGAAACCAATTATCTTTATTTACATTAAATCCAAAAAGGAAATGGGTTTCGCTTAACGCTGTTTCACCTAGTGCTCGGCTTTTCCGGAACCAATTAAGAGCGTTAAGCAGGGGTTGCCTGCATTAAGAGTCCAGAAAGTTGACCTGGATAATGTCCCTGTCAATACAATCTCAAAGAAAAGCTTTTCTACCATTGTAACCTAAGAGCTCAATTAGAAAAAAGGACAGTCGCTGCACCCATTGTAACCTAAGAGCTCATCCTTGACAAGTAATACAATCTGTGTTATTAC